ACTCCGAGTTGGTGATGACAGGGAAAGGAAGCATCTTATTCCCATAAAATGAGTGGTTTTGGTCTGGAAGTGCAGGATTAAATTCTGTGACATTAGATTCATGAGTGACTTCTATTGTTTATTGGTTGTACTCTAGTATTGCTGCTAGAGGGCCTAACGTATGGATCTCTGTGACAGAAGAGCTACTTTTCAGAGTGCAAACATTGCTAAGGCCCATGGTATTTGTAGCATTATGTAATATTTGAAAAGCTGTTGAGTGATATATCAAAATACCAGTTATAAATATGTTTTCATAACCTTTTTTATCTAGCTTTGACAAACACAAGTTCATTGTCTAAGAGCTAATTACACAAGATTCTGTACTCCAGGAAATTCATTGCTGATGGCAAGCAAGGTAACTGTTAGAGGCTACTGCTATTTAATTTTGTACCTTAAACAAAACTCGCTGTAAGCAATTTCATCTTATACAAAGAAAGAGTCTCCCTTTCACAAAAATTTAGAACACAGAATTTACCTTTGTTTAAAATATCTACGTAGTAATTTTGTATTAAACGCTAAACACTTTTTTAAGGAGTCAATGATCAAAAGCTACATTTGCTTTCATGTAATAACATGTAATGAGGATTCTAATGCGTGTTTGGAATAAGGGATATATATTACTGTACAGTATTGTAATTGACGTGCACTGGAATGTAGAGCCACAAAATTAAAGATATGGAAAAGTTCTTTAAATTTTAATCTTCTGGACTGAGCAAATCCATGGAATCTTTAATCCATCCTTAAAGATTTTTCAGGCAAGACTAAACTCCCCAACAAAGCAGGAGTGATAACTTACAAAATGAAGTGGTCAGAATATGAAAACAAGGCAAAAAGATTTTGATGAGCAAAAGATAAATAGCCTTCCTTCTCATTAGTTGGACTATTTGCAGCGTGGGGTGTAATGCATTCAGTCCATGCTCATGCACTGCGTCCTCTACGCACACACAAACATTTGCTTCAGTGGGAGTTTTGCAAGAGGCTCCCCACCCCCAGTTGGAGACTAAGCTTTGGGATAGGAATATATATACTACCCACTTGTCTTTATATGCTAAATGGAAGCCTGTGTTCTGTTTCAGCAAGGAAGTGTACACTGCTCTGGATTCAGGAGATACTGTCTCCTGTGCAGCTCCTTTCTGGGAAACTGTGTTTAGTAAGATGCTCTTGAGAGTGAAAACGAAATACCAACTATGTTAGGTGAGCAGCAGCCGGCAAAGGAAGCCGCGTGGCCCATTTGGCTTCTCTTTCTGGAACTGTTCCAATTCAGATATACTTAATGGCGTAAGCCAGAGTGAATCCCATTTTGTTTGAGAGCAATGCAGCCAAGTTCCAAAGGGGAAATATGGAGAGAAGCATGACTAAAAGCAGAGAGGCAGTTGGATAGATGAGTTCCAGAGAGACTCGCTGAAAAGTCACATAAACCACCTATCTGGTGCAGCATGGCTTCTTTACTCTTTTGTGCTGGCACCTAGATGTTGCTCTCCAGAGTAACCCACAGGAGCCCTAAGAGGAAATGTACTGAACGAGGAGACGTGTTGGAGAGGGAGCTCTTTCTCAAGGGAGGCCTCAGGGGCAGCCCCAGCTACAGAAGGCTAAGGCTGTGTCGGAGGCTGGGAAATGCATGTGTGCACTGGCCTCTCAGCCACCATGGTACAAAAGGGGTGGTGTTCTCCCACCTCAGCGACTTGTTGCATAGGTGTTGGCTGGAGAGACCAGTCCCACAAGCTGGCTCCAAACATACTGTAAAACCCACGTCACTCAGTATCCATTTCCTGGAAAAGAGTTGTCTCCTTTTCAAATGTTCATTGAAAACTGTATGGGTAGCTTGTGGTTTTTTATGGTTATTTATTCTAAATTACAAATGGCACAATTAAACTTAGCAGGTTGGGGATTTACCATGTGACAGCACCAAAGTAAATGCAAGAAATGGGCAGGAGTTTACAAATAATCTGCAAATATAAATACGCAGTATAATGTGTTTTGCCTATACTCAAATGTAAGTTATGTTAAAACTGTGTCACTTAAGAGGTAAAGTGCAACATTTTCCTTTTCTCAGCTTGATGGAGCCTTCCAAAGTGAATATCGTATAGTTCAAGACAGTAACCAAAAACTCAGTGTAACTAAAACCACGTGCAATTTGCATTTGGTTATGGACTGTAGATTTTCGGTTTTCTGCCCCAATTCTTGCTCCAGAGTGTAATTAGAGAAGCTATGCGATGCCTTGGGGAATAATTCAAGGCTTGATACTGAAAGAAATATTGTTCCCCCAGCAGAATAGGTCTAAGAGTAAAATAGCCTAATCACCAGTAGGATTACCCAGACAAGAGATAACAGCAGCTGCTCTGTATACCATCGGATCTGCCTATAGAGCAGGGAACTTCCAGGTTCCTGGAGTTTAGTGCTCCTCACTGAACCCTCAAAGAGATTAAAATCAGGTGCTTTGATAAGCAGAGAGAGGGGCTTGTACAGGCTATGTCTGTGTTATCAAGTCATGCAGTGCAAGCAGCTGGTTCAGAGAACCTGACTCTGGACATCTCAGGAGGAGGGATTACTTAGGAGTATCTCTGGTGTGATCTGCTGGACTGAGCATCCGTTAATAGTCAGCACATTTGCTGTGATTCTGAAGCTCACCTTCCACTTTAGTTTCATCTGAAAAGAATTTGGTTTACGTGCTCTGAGACCGTACTGCAAGGCAAACCACAGCATATTAAGCAGGGATGACCAAGAGATGTTATCCAAACTGTATATCCAGTGACTTTCTCAAGGCTTGTTGTCTCAAATCTGCTCAACATTGCAGGCAGAGCCCTTTCACCCCCAGGTGAAGTCCTGGGTTTTGCCTGATGAGCGATTTCACTTTCTAGATGCCCTGAAATTCATCTTACAGTTTGGACATTTTCCAGTTTGGAAAATAATGTTGCAAGGCTTGAGAGTTACCAAAGATGGTAGTTTAAGCTCTTAATAGTATGTGGTCTGTGACATTGTTCTCCAGAAAAAATAGAAATAGGTGATTTGGGGAGACAGAATTTCATCCAGCTAACTTCCAGAGGTGCTAGGTCGGTTGCAAATTTAGGTATGGTCAGTTAGCATTGACTTCCAGACAGAGCCTGTGGGTACCGGAAAGGTTTGTCCCTGCCTTGCTCCCTGGCGCAGGTGCTCCCCACAGGCTGTAAAACACATCACGGTGACATGAAATGGCTTTCAGCAAAGATCTGAATCAACTGTGCTGTAGGCCATGAACTCTTCTCTCACTTCCACTTTGTAACAGGATTAAGACATAATAATAGGACGGTGGAAGAAAGCTATCACTTCTTTTGCATACATGGTGTCTGTTTTTCAAGGATTTCTGCCCTCTGACTTAACAAGGTGCCCCTTTCATTAGCTCCAATTCAAGTTAAGGGTTTAATATTTATCTCTTCTTAAAGAGAAACTACTTACCAGCTGACAAAGCCTAAATGCAATAGCAATAAATAACAGCAGAAAAGTCAGTTGCTTCACAATAAATGCTTTGTACTGCCGCTAACTTGCGCGGTCTAAACATAAATCGAGGTATCCAAGCACTGAGAAAGCTGCAGTTTAAGCCATGTGAGGCTTTTCTTCACTTTAAGCCAAGGTTGAAATTAGAAAGGGTAAGACAGAATAGAGAAACTCAGATTATTAACAATTTTGTAGTTTTGTTTTCTACTATATTCATATGGTGAATATACTAGAAAATGGGCTCTCATTTCCTTCTAGTCTTGTGCAGTAGGACATTAAATAATAGCATTTGTGGTCTAATCTGCACTTTAATACGTTTTCTTCACTTGCTTAATTGTATTGATGGAAAGAGGAGGATGATCTTGTGGCGAGGACACAGTACTGGAAGTCAGGTGATCAGGGTTATATTCAGAGCTCTGCCACAGGCTTCCTGTGCAGTCTGCTGTAATCAGGTTTGCTAATATATAAAATGAAGATAATGACATTTCCCCTCCTTACCAGGGTGTTGTGACACTTAATTCATTAATGTTTGTAAAGTGCTTTGTGCTCCTTGCTTCTAAATGTGCTCCTCTCTGTAATAATGTCTTATGGATGGTATTAAATTTGAGAATAATGTTACTTTAGTGCCTGTGCACTTCAGTTGGCTGAAGTGTAGTAAAGACCATTATTTTCATGTATTTTATGAGCTACTGGAATTTTTTAGATGACTTACTTGAAATTTAGCTAATATATTTACAGTTATAAAACATACTATGTCAGTACTATGCCTGCTTCTTATTTTTTTCTGTCTTTTCACTATGATGAAATATTTAGCAATAAGCAGGACTGCCTTGTTCAGACTAAAAGGAGGACGAAAGAGTTTGGCATAAATACGCTAGCTGCTTGACTTCCAGCTCTGCTACTGAGCCTGCTCTCTACCCTGGTAAATCACCAAACAGCTCTGTGTCCCAGTGCAAAATGCACAGAAAAATTGAGCAAGAAATTAAGTAAAAAAAAATCTGGGGATATGAAAACGGGGAGTTTTGGTATTTACCTAAATTGTAGCAGCACTGCAGGACCAAGCAACTGTATAATTTATGTAGCACAGTTAAAAACAAAACAAAAAATAGTTAACTTACCGAATCTCTGAAGGTTTGGCAATGCAACTCCCAATAAATTCACTACAAATCACACAGTTAAATTTCTATATTGCACAGGGAAGTAACTCAGATAAAACTCTGTTAGTGTGCAATACAGTATGTTTGTTAAAGCAAATGGAAGTTGTGCATAGAAGTGAAAGTAGAATAAACTGATGAGTTTTTCAAAAACAAAAGGAAGACTATTACTAACGTTTGTTGTGCATATCTGGATTTTTCGGAATGTGGTAGTTCACTGAAATTCTGCTCCTATATGAAATCAAATGTTTGTCAGACAACTGTAATGCATAAAGCTATCTGTTTTTAATAGCCAGTGATATTTACATCAGGTGAAGAAAGGAATTACAAACTTACCATAAATAGAAGCAATTCATTCAAGGCTGTACAATGTTTGTCAGGCAGTAACCATGCTGCTGGTATAGTACAAGAAAAAGCATACGTGTCCCCTTACAAGCACTGTCCAACATTAGATTAGTAGGAAGAAAGGAAAGCAGCTGACACTTACTATCAATATAAAAGTTCCCAGGAATTCGGAGAGGGCTTCTTTAACCAAGCTGTTCTTCAAGGCAAATTTCTCCTTTAAACTCCCTTTGCTTTTCCGGCTCATTTTGGCTTCTTCTATTGCTCTGGTGCCCTAGTTACAAACACGCACAAAATTTGCTCTGTATTCGTCCCTGCCTCAGCTGAACTTTGACACTTTTACTTATACATTGAAATATGAGATTTCATCTTGTACAGCCAGTGAAATCATCTGACTGCAGGCATGGACAGAAACAACTCAACATGCCCTAACAATTCATGATGAGTTTTCCATCCTGTGCCTTCTCTGAGTACACTTCTATTTATACTGGTTAGATAATACCAGTAAGTTCACAATCGGAACTCCTCTTTTTTCTTGCAGAATGGATTAATCATTACCTTTCCTGTAATGTTACTTTTTTTTTTCCCCTGGTAAAAATGAATAAAATGTTGCTCCTGTCACCTTGATCAAAAAGACAGATAAAAAGAGAAACCACAAAGTAAGGAAACAAAATATGGTTGAAAATTTCTCTCTGACCTAGATTGCGATTTAGACCATGCTACTATTGGCTGTCCAAAAACTTTTGAAAGGGAGGTTGTATAAGAGAGTGAATGCTTGTGAGAATGCTGTGCTCTACCTTGTAAACAAAAGCTCCTATCTTGTCACTTCTGAGGGATTTCAGTGGCTGGTGAGGAATCTTACCTTGGCGTCGCATGTGGAATTTGTATATTCACTCACAATACTCTTTTTGGACTAAATGCCTTGCTCTCTAGTGACCCGCTCTATTTAAAAAAGAGCAACAAGGCAGAATAAATTGGGAAGATTTAAAGAAATCTGCTTTGGTCCAGTGGCTCCCTATAATGCAGTATAGGCAAGTGAGGCACTGACTACATGTCTCCAATATGTTTAGCTTAAAAGTGCATAGGTGCTACAATATTAAGCATTATAATATTATTTTCCATGGTCTTAAGCTATGAAGTTGCTGAATATATCAAAGAATTGGGCCTCCTAGAGAAAAATATTACACTCTTAATCTCTTAAGCATCTTGAATCACTTTATCAGATGTGATACTGACGTGACTAGCATGCTGTCTGGTTGATTTACAAGTATTTTCTGTCGTTTGACTTGACACCAAAACCTTAGCCCAGTTCTGGTAGATTATTTTGGCATGTGTTGTAGATGCTCAGTGGCTTGGTTTGTATCTGTCCTAAACCTTTTTCACCTTGGTGGTAAATACGTTTAGGTCTGTCACTACTGTTGTCTGCTGTGAATACGACAGAGCTTTACAGGACTGGGCAAACGGGCCATTTCTGCTATCCCATCAGTGTTCTTCCTTGCCTCAACCTAGGACCTGATGCATGTTTCCTGCAGCCGTAGTCACCTTACCACCACCAGTTTCAACCCTTAACCACCCAGTTCACCCCCACCACCCAATTTTAATCCTTAACTGCTTTTCCGTGTCCTTTTACCCACCTTTCTCTACCTCTGCATTCAAATACCACTCTGCCTTTAGCTGATTCAGAAAATGCTGGTCTGTGGAAAGCCACATAGCTGATGAATTATGAGATTACTGCATCTGTACTGGCGCTGTACGAGTAGGGTGAGTACCTGTGCAACAGCAGGCACGCTCTGTTGTAGGAGTGCTACAGGTCCTGCACTACAGGACCTGCTTGCAGTGCAGGCCCACACTTGCACAGACAGCTGGGAGCTGCCTCTGAGAAGCCCCTGAAAATAGCCTGTATACAGCAGTTTGAAAACCTTTACCCTACACCACTGCAAAACAAAGATATTATTCAGGACGTTAATTATCACAGCATGCTAAAATATATGTTTATTATGTCTGAGAGAGAAGTCTTTCAGAATTATGTACGCAATAGAATTGAGGGAGGATGCTAGGGAGGCCATTCATT